AACGTAGCCATAGCTCAAACAAATGGGGGTCACTGTGCTTGTTTTCAAACTAGACACCACAGCCTCTCTTTGAGTATAAAATCACTATATCTATTGAAACAGAATATGAAATCATATATATTTCATTTGTAAGTTATAATATGTCTATAATTATACGGTAGTTTTTTTTTCCAAGCCAGTCAAATTGTGTAACTTTTCATACACAATGAAACGACATCACTTTTTTCCAGACTACTTTTAAAGGGGCTAGCGGTGGTCGTCGCGCCACGCATGCGCCAGATATGGGTCTAATATAAACAAAGATGGAGATTTTGACTGTTGCGCACACCAACAAGTACATCCGGGAGATTACCGAGCATTATTCTTTTTTGGTGATCGGAAGGTACGATGCAAGTGGTGCCCAGGACAAAACTTGTACTTGTAATTTCATTAGAAATCGCATTGAATTGTGAGAAAATCAATGTTTATCAACACAGATGTCGCACATGCGCGGCCCGACGACTACCGTCCTTTAAACATTTTAATCGGGTCTCCTAAGTAATATGAAGTTGTGTTCATTTGTTAATTAAGAAAGAAATCATAGAAGTAAAATATATATCCAGCTGAGAATACATGTCAATGAAGAAGAAAAAATATTTTTAAATATAAAAGTCTAACAAAAATCAAGTCCCTAATCTGATCATCCCTCCCAAAATATAATGGTCCGTCCCTTAATCGAACAGCCCCCTTATACCTCTTGTAACCGGTGTTTCAAGTGCATCAAAAAAGGGGGCGAAGGGGCACATATTACTGACATAATCCCGAATAGCGAGAGAGATCATCCCTAACATTCATGAACAGAGAAGCCAGGGAAGCCTTGTAATCGATTTTGCTCCGGATTTGGCGGGCTTTCGTCCTTCTAATGGAGCCGCGGACGACAAGGAATCGTGATAGGGCAAATTAAGTGCAGACACACAAGCCAATTGGAAAATATTTTGTGCATGTCTTGTAGTATGTTGTATACTCAATGCTCGACGTATATCATATCATATCATATCATATCATATCATATCATATCATATCATATCATATCATATCACATCACATGAGTCCTGCAAGCTGCACGCAATGAGACAGATAGACAGCCACACTATCTTTTTTAACGAAGCTGAGGGGTTTGCTCATCCATGATTTCTACTGTACCGCCATTGCTGTATGATTATTATTATAAATCCTCTCTGACAGCGGCTCGACTCTTGCTCGTGTAATGGTTATTTTTTTCATGGTTTAGCTACAAAAAATGACGACACAGGTGAGTGGACAACATTATCAGATATATAAAGTGTGTTTTACTAATACCAATTCCTCTATGCATATTCACAAGAGCAAAGGTGGGGGACAATCTGATTTGGATGACCCTCAGTGATCAGATCCTCCGACTTGCGGCGTTAGTGACTTTGAATGTTTTAGAGGAATTA